TAACGTTGACGGTTAATTCATCTTCATTTTGTATTCTTCTACAAGCCCGGCATCTTTGTGCTGGTCCTCTTTTCTCAGTTTTTCTTTAATTCTAGAGTCCAGACTTGTTGGTTTTTACTACGAGGATCACTTGAAAGAAGTTCCTGTATCATTTCTTTTCTAGTTTTGTTGGTGCCCTTTTTTTCATTAGGTTTTGTGATCAACTTAAAATAAGACTGACCGACACCACGAAATATAGACAACTGTATACAGTTTAAAAAGACGAGGGAACAGAGTTCTAAAAATTGAACTCTTCGACACTGAAACGTATCAATGGCATCTGTCGTAGAGTGACAGACCAGCGCGGACGTATGTCCAGTACAAGGTGCAAGGCAGGCACCACGCAGGGGGAGGGGCTGGGAGGGCTTTTGCCCCCACTTTTCACGAGATTCAAATTATGTCAGATATTCGTGTTGGTTTCTTTTTTATCACATGACGAATACATAGATATCAGAAAAAAGGAGCAATTAAAATTATTAAAATTACTATTACGTTTGTCAATTTTAGATTCATTTCCAGCCATTTAAGAGGACTTCAAAACAATTTTCGCAATTAAGCGCCCCACTCAAAAACCCACCGCGCGGAAAAGGGGGCCCATAAACTAACATTTTAAAATTTATTATCCGCTTATTTTCAAGCTATTGAAAATACGAAATATATATATTTTTAAAATGTTTTTATAGCTATTGTTATTGTTACTGTTATTTCGGACCCGCGACAAATTTCTGGATCCGCGACAATTTACCCGTTTAAGCAAACCACGACGGCAACGTTATAAATCTTTGTACATTTCTTTGCCGTCCTCTGCAAAACAACAACGTGAAATGACCAAGTTTTGGGTATTTTGAAGAACGTGAGCCACGACGGCTAATAATCTTTCGTATTTTCTTCTAGAATTATTCGCTGACGTTATATCTTTAGTGGGACCGCTCGGCTTGCAGAACAGTTCTAGATAATTGCGAAATTCAAAAGTAAAATTTAAGTCCATTTTTTCCCAGCCGTCGTCCTTGGCGTTGCCGTCGTCTGCAATGACGACGGCAAATTTACAAAAATTTACAGAAATTTACAGAAATTTACAAAGAATTATAACGCACGTGCACAGCCATTGTTATCCTCATTAAAGCTTTTGTTTAGCGACGTTTCCGTTGCCGTCGTGGTTTTCTTAAGCTCCCTGTTGTCTTGCAAAGGACGGGAAAGAAATGTACCAAGAATTATAACGCACGTGCACAGCCATTGTCCTCACCTCAACAACAACAACAACAACAACAACAACAACAACAACAACAACCACCATTTTATTTTGCATAATGCAGAGAATATCATACAGTAAAAACTAAACGAGCTGAGTAGTTACAAGAATTGTTACGCTTTAAATCGGTTGTAGGAAAAATAAAAAAAAGAAGAGGTAGAAAGAGAAAAAAAATATATAGATATAAATATAAAACGAAATATAAGTAGTAACAGTACCAGTTATAGACAGAGCATTGTTTAATTAAGAGCGATAGTAACTTTTAAAAAGAAAAAATACCAAGCTAGCATGAAGCATAAGAACTTAGAAATTGCTTAGTCAAGGTTTGTTTAAATAAACGCAGAGATAAAGTTTTTATCTCTTCATCCAAATTGTTCCAGACAGAAGGACCAGAGAAATGTAGATTGAATTTACCATAATTAGTTCTAACCTGATCGATATAATATGTTGACTTAGATTCTAACCTAGTACTATAGTTATTTTTAGATGATATGCATGCATCTATCTTCTTCGCGTTCTGTTGCGCATAAGGTCGCACAGCCATTGTACTGCTCATTAATTCTTTTGTTCAGAGACGTTCCCGTTGCCGTTGCCGTCGTGGTTTCGTAAACTCCCTAAAAGCAGGTGGGGTCAACTAACAAATAAAATTTTTATGCCATTGAAAATGACATAAAAACAAAATGGGAAATGAAAAATGGAGAATGTACAACTTTGAGAGTCCAATTACCTTCTAAGCTTCGCACTTGAGGGGCCAAAAGAGATATTTTTCTTTCGAGAAAACTTATCGAGCTTATTTAATTTCAGTCGAACCTCTCCACAGGAAGGGGTGTAACCTGGTCGCGTGACCGTCCTCCGAGCCCTGGGAACGAGGTTGCGAAGACCTCGTTCCCAGGGCCCATTCGGAGTTGATTCCAAGATGGCGTGGTTGAAGTAGCAAGCAGTTCAGTACCATGACTTCTGGAAGAATTTTATGCATTGGTCTCGTGGCTCTTGATATTGTAAACACATGTGAACGTTACCCTGAAGAAGATGAAGATTTAAGAGCAAATTTCCAGAGATGGCAAACAGGAGGGAATGCCTGCAATACTTGTACTGTACTGAACGAGCTTGGCGCGGATTGTGAATTTTTTGGTTCCATGTCATATGGTCTACAGGCTGATTTTATTCGTAAGCATATGGAGGAGCGAAAACTACGTTACAAGTGTGTTTGTCACACAAACTGTGGGACGCCAACATCTTCTGTCATTCTCAATCTTCAAACGGGGAGCAGAACCATTGTACACGCGAGAAATAATCTACCAGAGCTTAAAGTTGAAGACTTCGAAAAACTAAATCTATCAGACTACAGGTGGATTCACTTTGAAGGTAGGAGAAACGAGGAAGTCATTGTGAAAATGATAGAAATAATCGAGAAATTTAATACAATGAAGTCGTGCACCAACCAAGTCAAAGTTTCGGTAGAGTTGGAAAGGCCAAGAGATTCTCTTCTGCAGTTGTTAAAAAAGGGCGACGTCGTGTTTATTAGCAAAGATTTCGCTCGCTCTCGTGGATTCTCGTCGTCTGCAGCGACTCTCAAATCACTTCACAGCCAGCTCAAGTTCGGTGCCACAGCCATTTGTGCTTGGGGAGAGGAGGGTGCGGATGGAGTTGGTCCTGATGGTGAAGTGAAACACAGTGATGCCTACCCCCCAGAGAAAGTAACCGACTCTCTTGGAGCTGGGGACACTTTTATTGCTGGTGCTATTTACAGCTTTTGTAAAGGGTTGTCATTACAAGACGCACTGAATTTTGCTTGTTTTTTGGCAGGTGTTAAATGTGGTATGCATGGATATGATGGGTTAGTTAAAGAAGCTCTAAAACATAATAAGTGGCCAGATCTTTTGGTCCAGGACTTAGTGGAAGAGGAGGATGGGGCTTAATTGTAGTCTTTATTCAACTA